GTGAAGATGAAGCCCTTCCCAATGGAACATACCGGGTCATCAAAACGTTACCTTACCGCTCCAAGAACACCAGCAAGTTCTTCATGGATTAGATATTGAAATCATAAAAGTGGATCAGATCTCTGGGAAAACTTTCAAGAGAGAACCACATGGATTGCCCGGGTACCCCTTCCATCCATTTTCACCAGAGCCCCTGAAAAGTTACCAATTTACTTTTACAATGCCCAATGGTTTGCTCAACTCAACCCAGGCCAAAAGCAACTCATCCCAAATGCCGGGCAAGTGGCTTTTCTACATGATGTGTGGGAATGTCTTCTTCCTACCCAACACCCCAATGAGAGACTTCCAGATGCCGAATTCACAGCAAAATATCTCAAAAGTCTATCTGAACCATACAGAGGCACTTTGTATGACCTTGATGAAGATGCTGATTACAAAGACGACAATGATGAGGAACGGGGTTCAAATGGAATGTGCATCCTACTCTCTGCTACAAACATGCCAACTTCCGATGAATCCAAATGTTACTGTGATGGAGATGTTGGCTCTTTATACAATTCCAATGATGAAGATGTCTCTCAAGGCCCTGCTGATGATGCTGATATGGATGCGTAGGCTCACATGTGCCTGGGTTCTGGAGCCAAAATGATACGGGGTGCTCTATTCTTTTCTCTAGTCCTGACAGCCAAAGAGGTGGTGGCCCTAGACACTATTGAGACAAATGATATGTTGTTGTTATGAATTGTCATACTCAAGTTTAACTTAAACTGACAATGTACTGATTTTGCTCAGCCTTGCAAGCCAGTCAAGAAAGTAAAGCAATAGGGGTTGGGCAAAAAACTGACCAACCAGTTTTGCGCCCTTGAGAAATAAATTGAAAACGGCCAAAGATGACCGAAATCAACTGGGTGCAGGTTTCACAGACCTGTCACAGTGCCGGGTTACCCAAAGAGACCCAAAGTCAGTCTTTGGGTCTGATTTTTCTCCTCCAGCCCCACCGATAGCTCAGCTTGAAGAACTCAGGCAAGTTTTTGCACCTTTCACGGATCTGTAAAAGGTGCAAAAAGGGCGTTTGCGAGGCTTGTGGCGCCGCAAATTGCTTTCCCTGTAGGAGCTTTTGAACGGTTATAGTGGTGGCATGATCACGAAACCAATCATACCAGTCAACATTTTTGGAAAGCAAAAAGATGGATAAAAGGGGTTGGGCGAAAAACTGGTCAACCAGTTTTGCCAATATGAGAAGTTGGTAGAAGAGTCCATTATCCTCTGTGATTTACGCTATGGGGATCATTGGCTGTTTACATATATGTGATCTTACATCACAGCTTGTTACATTTCATTGCTTTGCTTCTACTACCCAGTCACGTCAAGAATCTCACATAGCCTTGAAGCCTCTTTATGCCTTCCTACTCTTATTGAGTCGGATTGCACGTGTTTGGGGGGGGGCCCTGGGGCCGTAGACTCCCTGGCTAGGGTGGATCTCTGCGTGGTGGGCGAAGGGGTGGGTGGGAGGAAAGAAAAAATTTTTTTCTACTAAATTTTCTGCGAACTTGCGTCTATCGTTGAGAGGTCTGAGGGATGATGGAAAACTCTGACTCAGAGATTTTCCTCTCTTGGGTTTGTACTCTTCTCTGGCCTAGTTTCTGCTAGGCCCGGGGTCCCCGTGTCTGTGATCCGCGGGGCCGCTCATCCTCAGCCCTCATGGAACTAGCGGATACCGTCGTGCCTTTGGGTATCCGCCCCATTCCATTATCCTCTGTGATTTACGCTATGGGGATCATTGGCTGTTTACATATATGTGATCTTACATCACAGCTTGTTACATTTCATTGCTTTGCTTCTACTACCCAGTCACGTCAAGAATCTCACATAGCCTTGAAGCCTCTTTATGCCTTCCTACTCTTATTGAGTCGGATTGCACGTGTTTGGGGGGGGGCCCTGGGGCCGTAGACTCCCTGGCTAGGGTGGATCTCTGCTACCACTACTCGGGACGTGACGTCCGGAGCCTGC